GGGGTCTTTTGACCCAGAAATCTAGAATTAAATTAAATATATATACTCACCCCTGACACACCTCAGGATGTTCGGGATCAGAACACCTGACAGGAAGGTTGACCGCGCCGCAGCCTCACACCGTGATCGGGCACCCTCACCACGAACTGACTCCTCGCCTGAAAATACTTCTAACGTAAGAAGGAGTATCGGCGACTGGGAGCAAGGAAGAGTGGAAGTAAAACCCACTCGCATCCGCACCCCAGAAAAGGCAAAAGGGCCAGCAAAAAGAATAATCTTTACCAAAGACACAAAAGTGGTGACCCGAAAAGACCCGACAGACCTCACAGACTCGACAAGTCCCCCAAAATATGCCACGAAGTTGGCAGAGGCAAGGGCATGTGTTACGAAGGCCAAGGTTAATCTTGGCCTATCCAGAAATACAAAGACAGAAATAAAAGAGGCAGTGACGCAAGCGGTCGACAGGCTGTACCAGATAATTAAGGAGTTAGAAAGCAAAGAGGAAAAGGCAGCACAGGAGAAAATGACAGAAGGCACGGGAATAAGAAAGGAACAGACTAAGGAATGTGCCGAATTAGTGGGAAAAATTGAAAATCATGCGAGACTAATAAAGGAAAATAGCGAGAAAATGCAAGAACTACAGAGCACTCTGGAAAAATATGGCAAACAGGAAAGACAGCAGCAGCAATATACATATGCTAGGGCAGTAATGCAGGACAGAAAAAGCCCTACACAGCAGAAGTCGTTACTGTCAGTAGTAATAACATCAAAGGATGAAATGGAAACCGGAGAAGAGGTGCTAGAGAGAATAAGAAAAGCGGTTAAAGCGAAAGAAGGCGGCATAGTAGTAGAAAACATCAGGAAGGCAAAAGACAGGAAGATTATAATAGGATGCAAGACAGAGGAGGAAAGAAAGCAGTTAAAAGAGAGGTTGAAGTGCGCAGAAAAGCACTTAAACGTGCAAGAAGTAAAAAATAAAGATCCTATGATCATTCTGCTAAACGTTTTTAAATATAATTCTGATGAAGACATCATTGCTGCATTAAAAAATCAAAACAAGGGAGTGCTGAGCGAAGGAGGGGATAAGGAGGAGAAGTTAGAAATAGTTTACAAAAAGAAGGCGAGGAACCCACTAACTCAACATGTAGTGATGAGAGTCAACCCGCACATTTGGAAAAAATTGACTGACGTAGGGAGAGTCCAAATAGACCTACAAAGAGTGAGAGTCGAAGACCAATCGCCTCTCGTACAATGTTCGCTCTGTTTGGCATATGGACACCCCAAACGACTATGCAAAGACACAGCTGAGAAATGTAGCCACTGTGGGGGGGCCCATAAGAAGAGCGAATGTGAAGATTGGAAAGCGGGTATAGAGCCAACATGCTGCAATTGTAAACTAGCAAAAATGGATAAGATTGACCACAACGCGTTCAGCCAGGAGTGCCCGGTGCGGGAGCGATGGGATTCTATAGCAAGATCCTCAATCTCATACTGCTAAAGGCGCTCCGGGCACTCAGGGCTGGACGGTTGGTAGAGCTCAACAATATCGCGCTCTACAAACCAAACCGGGGACAGAGAGAGAGGTATTGGGGGGAGATGCCAACATACGAAATGGCTGGTGGGGGGGACGAAGAGTAAATAAGAAGGGGAACATCAATTCGGATCACAAGACGATACCAGCAAATATAAAATCCAAAAATCATCAAGGAGAAGATAATCAATACATTACTAGAGTATTAAAAAAGGCTAGTTGGGAAGCAATTTGGAAAAATTTTACAAAAGTGTGGAATGAAGGCAAAATTAATATTAAAAATGGAAATAGAAATAAAAATAGGAAAAATTTGGAAATAAATGTTCAAAATTACACAAAAGTAACACAAAAAGTTTGGAATGGAAATCGAAAAAAGAATTTTAAAAATAAGAATAAAATAATCTTACCTTGTTGGTGGTCCGAAGATCTCACCGCCGGGCGAAGGGAGGTCCCACGCGCAGCGCCGGCCGGGGCGGGATGGGTCGTCGTGCAGCATCTAGAAACAAAAAAGAGAAAGAGTCAAAAAACCAGCTTCTGTGGACGAAGGAATAGGGGGTTGATGTGCGACGAGTTGCGTCAAACGATGAGCTGTATGACGAGTGGAATTGAAGACCTTCCCATCATGGAGGATAGGGAGGCCTCAAGCCTTGGAAATGAGAACGTCGAAGACCCAACATCGTCGGAGGATGCTGCGGAACGCATAAAGACAGCAAACAAGACTTCGCAAATAAACAAACGAAGGCATGATGAACCATGCACTCGATGGTTTAACAGAAGAAAACTTACGTGGTCCGCAGCATCCTCGTATCGCAGAAAAGGCTCCTGGCGCCGACAGCCACACTACCACGCTCGATCGGAAGCTCCACCCGGCTCCAGTAAGAGGACTCCCAAGACCGGCATACCTCCCGCTGGCAGGAGGGAATCGTTGTGGCACCTAGAAAAAATAGAGACGAGAGTATTGAAGGATAAAACGGGAAAATACAGAACATCCAGGGTGGAATTTTAAACTTAAATTAGTAATTATTTGGTCAAAGTCAAAGTAAAAAAAAATTTCTTTAAAGTAAAATCAATATAGGTATAAATTAGGAAAACAAATCAAAATTAGTATTAGTGGTGCTTCCCTGTGTGTATGCTTCCATACACAGGGAGAAGCACCACCACGCACACCATATT